GTAAAAGGTTTAAGAAAGAAAAAGGGAGGGTGGGGTGAGGAGGGGTGAAACAAGATTCATAATCATCCAGATGTGTGCTAACATGTGGAGACATGGCGTTGCCGTGGGCCTGCATTAATGAAGGTGGAGATCCATTTGAAAGGGGTGGAGGTCTGATAGGCTACGGGCTAGCATGTGTGTGTGTGTGTGTGTGATAGGCCGTGGCCCGTACACACACTCACCCGGTCACATGTGTGAGCAATAAGTTAGCCCATGAGCAGACAAACAGATGGAACTGAGCTGAGTTAGATTCTCAGTCAGAGGAGAATAAAAAGAAAAGACGGAGAAAAGAAAAGAAGAAAAAATAAAAACCACTACATTTTCTACTCTTTCTTAATGCTTTTTATCATTAGTGGCAGGGTTAAGTCGGATTAGCTACTTGGCTATTAGCACCGCGTGTTGTACCACTGACAGAATTTCCAATTAAATCCGATCACTGTTCTTCCGCGTTAGCTAACTTTTATCTTTTAATTAGCTGAAATTAAATTCAATTTTTTTTTTCTAGGCGTCCTTTTAGTTAGGATTTTTAAAAAATGATTATTGATTACTGTGTTAATCCAGCTAAATATTTATGCTAATGTTAACATTTAAGAGCTCTTTCGGGCTACTTGTAATTCTTCGACTTGTTAATCCAGCTAAATATTTATGCTAACGTTAACATTTAAGAGCTCTTTCAGGCTACTTGTAATTCTTCGACTTTTTAACATAAAAATAACTTTTAGCTATTTTAATGTTAACCCTAATTCTTCACCTGTTGTTAGTTGAAATTTTTGTCTTTTAAATATGGCTACATATATTTATTAATGTTTTGTATTATTTATTTCAATTAGCATTTACAGCGAATTTTTAGGAAGTTTTTATTGTTAAAATTTTACTTTTTTTATTTACGTTCAAATGAATGGCAGATAAAAAAAAAGGTTTTTTTTCAAACCTGTGTTGTTATAATAAAACAAATAAAATAAACAGATTTTAAATTTATATTCATGAAATATCAGGCTAATTCTCCAGTGTTTGACTCTCACATAAACCTACACGGACAGTGAGTCGTTCTGCAGCAAAATATTACTGAAGTCAAACATGGAGAAAAATGTTAAAAAAAACAAAAAGTCCAGATATGGCATCATTTTAAAAAAGTAAAAACTACTGAACGATCAGGTGGTGGGAAGTCAAACGGAGTTTATGAAAATGTTTTTACTTTGTGGAATGCTGCTGTGTGAGTGTGTGTGTGTGTATGAGTGTGTGTGTGTGTGAACTGTACATGAACCCCTGAACCCAAAATCTGCACCTGACGAAATCTGGTCTTGGCCCCGACACACAACCGCGGAGAGCGAGCAGGAAGGAATGCCACCTTAGGATCAACGTTAGACAGAGTCTCCGTGGGCTGGAGGGGAAACACGTCCGTCCCAGGAGAGGCCGTAGGAAATGTTAGAGCGTCCAATACGTGAGGATCTTTATACACTCAATATTTGATCATATCCTGCTTTCTGTGATTGTCTTGAGGGAGAGAGGGAATATTTGCCAGCGTGATATGTGAAACACACACTAAGGCGTCCTCGGGGAAGGGTTGACGATACCAAACTGTGGGATTATTTTTGGACAAAGGACAAAAAGATCACTGAAGAACACGGACAGGGAAACAAGTCTTTGGGGACGTCTAAGATATTCCAGCTAACCTTTAGCTATTTTTGCTAAATGTTTTGGCACCTCTGAGCTGCTATATTTTTATATAGTTTTTTCCTAGTAAAATAATGAAACTTTTACGACAGGGTTTTGACACCAGCTTCACCTGATTTTTTTTTTTTTTTTAATTTGTCTCAAAACTTTTTGACCAACCCTCATATTTAAGTTTCGTTTTTGCCTTTACGGATTTTTAGCTATTTTTGTTTAGGCCTGAATTTTACATTGTTACTTTTGGCTAACCTTTAGTGGTTCCTGGTTGTTTAGCGATCATAATTAAACATCTAAAGGCTAGCTCTACGTAATCTTAGCTACATTTATTTACTTTGGTTGTTCAGTATTTGCGATATCTCACTAACTTTATTAACTAAGCAAACCTTAACCTTTTAGGCTCTTACTTAGCGATTTCTTGTTTTACTTTTGTTAGCTTTAGCATACTAGCAACTTTTATACATTTTTACTTTTTCTTTTATTAATTCACAGCTAATTCCAAGCTAGAAAAAAAGTAAGACTAAGAAGTATTTGGGTAAATTTCTCAAAGGTTAGCATTCTGCTACATGGTTAGCCGTCTTTGAAAAACAGCCGTCACCTCCGAGGCTGTTAGCTTAAACTTTGACTTATTACATTTGTTAACTTTGTATTTTATTTTCTGCGGCCAACTTTTTGTCATTTTTTCCCCCCGAAGTCTTAACGTCGCCATGTGTCCGACATGTGTACGATGTGACCGGCGATCGGTGACATCTGCTCAGCTGTCATCGTCGACACACATCATATTAAGAGTGTGATTGAACTGAGGTAATGAGCTAAACAGCAGCGGGGTCAGAGTGGTATTTGAGCAGCTTAATGCCCTGTTTGTTTTCCTATCTGCCCTCCCTCCGGTGCTCTCCACGCCGTCAGAGTGCTACCATTGGTCTGGTCCTGTCCACCTCTCCGTGTCTGCGTTTGTCTACTTCCTTCACTCAGGCACTCACTTTCTCTTCCCACTTTACCCTCATCCCTTTCATGAATTAAAAGCACAGTGGGTCTGCTGGGAGAAGCATAGTTAATTCCAATCAGATCTCCTCCTCCGCCGCCCCCC